CCTCAAGAACATATAATCGAGTAGTAAACGAATAGTCCCTTATGGAGCATCGCTGTCAAAATCTCAAAATAAATCATGTAGAGCTGTCCAACCTCTGATTTTATAGAGAGATGTTTGCTCTACATTCTTGCCTGCCTACATTCTAACCAAGATTTTTCAAAAAGTATAAAATCCCTAGTCAATCACTCGGTGCATGTCTAATCGTATTACCATCAAAGTGACGTTTCTACACAACATGTGTCACTGTATGACGTTGCCTGTCGATGAATCATTTTGACCTGCAAAATCGATATTTATGCAAATTCTAATGTGATTGCACCACACAGAATGGGAGCGAATTTATTGCTGACGTTGAAGCAATTATCCAGTGGCATTGTATTCGAGGATATCAGCAATGATCTTCTACTGGAATTTTATTACTGTTTGATTATTTCTCGTCCCACGAGATGTACTTGTCATTCGGCCATCTCAATCGTCATTTCAACAGTTTGATCGATAGTTATCCACAACATGTTGATCTTCGACTGAGCACAGTAATACCGTGCCATATTCGTTCACTTAGACTTACCGCAAAATATCAACTACCACGGTTTTCTATTCTCGACCATTTCCAGATATCGACCATTCGGGCGTTGTCACTAGCCAATTTACGATTGCAACAGCTTCTCGATGTACTTAATATTGTTGAATTAAAACAACTGGAATATATTTATTTGGGCGTGTTTAATGAACATGGAAATAGAAGTCGAGATGAAATCGAATTTGTGCAAGCGAAAATTCTCGCTTTGGATCAAACTGCATCGATGTCATTTGCGAGGTCAATTTCTGATTGATATCGATCATTTACCTTTGACTCTTCCGGCTCTCGAATAACTTCATCTCGATCGCTGCAAAGATTTCTCCGTTCTCTCTTCTCTTCTTTCTCGTACTCCTAATTTGAAGTCTCTTCGAGCATCAACATTCGATTCAACAGAAAACCCTTTGGAGTCAGTTTTCTGTCGAATCACTCATCTTGCCCTCGCTCCTCATTTAAACTGTTCGGAGGCAGAACTTGATCACTTTTTAGAGACTTGTTGTCCCTACGTCAAGAAATTAGTCATCGATCGATCAAAATCCATAAAAAAACAGGATAATGGAATTTGGCGAAACGTTCGACTTGTGTAAGCATTTGGTGAAACTGGAGAACATGTGAACATCAAATGAACGTAATCTGAATAAAGGGCATCGCTGTATTTTCATGCATTTTTTGAAAAATATTTTTCTGTTAAATATAACTTTTCAAATAAAATCATTTCGAAGGCCGAAATGCAGTAGACAACCATCTTAGATAAAATGGACGATTTTTCCAGCAATGTTCCCGGATCATCTCAACTCAACTGAAAAGTGGTGTCTGATTGCAAAGAGGATCCAGTATCGATCAATCGAGTTTTCTCTATTTACTTTTCGACTTTATCACGTGCTTGAAAATCGACAGTCTTGTTCAAGGCATTGGAGATAGAAACACAGCAAATTTGGTTCTGAGTTCTACCAGAATCCGTATTGACTCAACTCTAAAAGAATCCCTCAATTAATCCATTTCTTCTGCTCTAATTTCGTAAACAATCTATCACTTGTTTCGTCTTCTATTTCAATGATGAAGTGTTTTTGATTCCTTTGCAAGCACCTTTGTTTGTGTTGATGCAGGAACCAGAATTTTTAGCTTAAAAAAACGACTTCAATAGTGTTCATGTGTGAGGTCTAGCATCGAACAAAGGGCACGAATCAACTTTGATGTTCATCGGTCTGTGGATTTCAAACATCAAAGAAATTTTTCTAGACATCGCAAGAAACGTCGTAGACAACGTTAGACGCATTTGACTTGTCACATATCTTTCGGCTTCTTCTATCCGACGGTAAAAATCATAGCTATCTATTTCTTTTTTTCCTTCTCCAGTTATATCTCTGAGGCAATGCAGTGCCTTGCTTTTGGACTAGCCGAGAGTTGCAATATCACATCAATTCTAATCCGCTTTAACCTATTTTTACAACGTTAAAAAACGATCGTTGAAAGTTTTCTTAATAGAGGAATGAGCTTGAACTCATACAAGCGATTCTGAGAAATATCAGACTTATTTATTGTCTTTTCATCGTTAAAAAGTCGATGGATGGGACATCTGTCTATTTGAGAAGGAAAATATTTGAAAACGGTTCTACGGCCTTTCTAGTATGTCTTTCGAAAATCACTGAATGATTCCTTTGATTAGACGTATCTTTTCACGTTCGCCACATCATACAGCTCAATTTGTGTCCTAAAAATTCTGAAATTATCAAACTTTCTTTCTTGTGCGAAGAACAAGAATTCGTTGGCGGAGAAATTTTGAAAAATATTCCTCTAGGTACTTCCGCACAGCTCCGCTCACTTATTTATTTACACACATGTATCCCGCCGTTACGATTTCATTCCTGTCATTTTGTAGGTCGTAATAAAGTCTTTTGACTTAGAATATTTTCCAAAAAGTGATGTCGATGGGAGTGTTCTGGAGGTCCAAAGTCTGTAAAAGTACACTTTTTAAATCTCTCAATTTACTATTTCTACGTTACGTCTGTCATGTTTGAGTCAAATATTAAACTTTTTTACGAAAATGATCAAAAAGAAATTCTCTACAAAACGTGATATTTTGCAATTCATTCTTAGCTAACTGAGTTTTTGTCCGTTTGTCACGGAAGATCAAAAAGTACGGTTTTTCAGACTTTGGGCCTTCGGAACATCTCCAACGAAAAATAATTGTTTTTTTTTTGTTGTCGTGTTGAACTCTACTCGAAATAGATTCGAATGCGGTGTGGATCTCGTATGAACCGGTCGATTGAGAAAGAAAAATCAGTCGAACTGGTGCCGATCCAATTCTAGTTTTCTTCTAACTAATGAAGTTGTGTCTCATGTGTGTGATTTAATCGAATTTGAATTTCCCATTATGTTTTTCACAATTTTCAGCAGTAAGAATGCATCTAAGGATACTTTCAGAAGAAAAATTATCACCGTTCAGTTGATGTGTGAACATTCGTTATCATCGGATCCATCATACAATTTTATAAGTTCCTCAAAGACGGTTCTGGTCTGTATTCAGACGATCGACTTAGAATAGAAATCTAAATCAATTTAGGGAGAATGGCTGCAAGGAAGTTTCCGATCGACTAACTACAATAGGTCGTTCATATTTTGAAAAAAACTCTAGTATAATTTAACTGTTCCATGACAAAGCTGTTATCCACGTTGTATCATATACCATTAGATGCGTCTTGAAGCGACCTATAAAATGGCGTGCAATTGAAGAAAAATAAATTGTGGCTGGCATACTTTGTTTTATAGGACCGAAAAAAGTCGCAATTCTGCCTGTAAGTCGCAATTTTATTCATCAAAACTCACGTTTTCCGCGATAAAAATATCATATTCGGAATCAGCGTCGAAAACTCAGTTGAATGATCAATATTTCCAAACTTTTTGGTGATTTTTTTGGGGGGATAAAAATCTGTTATTTTTCGATGTAAAAAATCAAAAAATCTTAAAGCAATCGGATAGGATAAAAGTCGACTCGGTTTTTGACGCTGGTTCCGAATATGATATTATTATCGGGTAAAATGTGACTTTTGATGAAGAAAATTGCGAATGACGGGCAGAATTCCGACTCAGATAGATTTAATCGATAATTAAAGAAAAACTTTACTTCTAGTTTCATTCTCAATAAATTAACATTAATTTCACTAAACGAATTAATCTAATATTTTCAAAATAGGATAATACTAGAATAAAATCATTTATTGTTCTCAAATATATTGAATATTTGAATCTATTTTAAATTATGAATAATTGCACTGCAAAGCAATCCGATACGGACCACTTGGCATTTATTGTTTGCTAAGTTACAAAGTTAATAGAAGAGCTACATATTATTATACAAGTATGCACACATTTAAAGAAAAAAGGTATATACAATAAAAAAAAAACGAGAACGTATATAAGAATAGAAGCAAATAATGTTCAAAATGAAAAAAATGGTAACACAAACAAAAATATTTCATAGGCTGTTTAGGATATACTGGCAAATGTTCAACAACATCAAAAAAAGAAAATAATAATCAAATTTTTCTCGAAAGAAATACAAGAAAAAAACAGGTAGAAAAATATTTTTAGACTCCACCATAGACCACATAATGAAAGGGATGCTAAAAATGCGTTGTGATAGATTGTTCTATTTGATAAAGACGATTTGCTTTCAACTCAATTCAATGCCAAGTTTCACAAGCTTTTTTTCTCAAAACAATAGGCAGTAAAGTATTATTATTAATTAGAAAAATTATTTTATTTATATTGACTTAACTAGTTTTTTAAAGAATCTTGATGATTATAAGTTTGAGTCAAAACAGATAATTATTATTAGCAGGCTCATGTTCATAGTTGATCGCTCTACCAATAGAAGCTGACTTGATGCACGCTCAACAGCAGTGTTACTGCTGTTATATTAAATACAATTTTGTAAATCAAAAAACATATTTTATTTTTTCTCGGATGTAAATAAACCAACTTATATATAGAAATAAAAAAACAAGCAATAGAGAGAAAATGCTGCTGGCTATTAGTTTGTCCATTTTTTTCATGATTACAGCCAACATGCAGCAACATATATAATATTTTCTACATAGAGCAAAAAAACGGAGAGTTACAGAATAAACACTATGATACATCATGGAAGAGCGAATAGAAAAACGTTTCTTTTTCCTCTTTTATGAAACTATAAATGTGTAACCTAACAAATAGATGACAGAAAAAAAAATATATACAACGTAATTATCAACATAAACAACAACGACAACATAATAAAAAGTGAGAGAGAAGAAACAAAATAAAATTCAATAATTCATCATCTTTTCCCTCATTCATTCACTTTTTAAGAGTTCATAAATAAACAATCACATTATCTGATAACTAAAATAATAATACAGATGAACAGAAATATTGTGTACTTTCATGTATCTCCACCACGTAATTTTTTTGCACCATTTGTTTGTAATGAACTAGACGAAGTTCGTTTTAATGAACCAGCCCCTCCTGTTGACTGTGAAGTAGTTGGAGCACCCACTAAATGATTAAAATTAATTGCTTGTCCACCGGTGACTGATACAGAAGGTGATAAAAGGTTATTAATGTTTGATGAATTATCTTTTTGATCTTGTAACCATCGGACTTGAGTAGCTGGTCCATAACCTTTTTCATTTCGAGCTGCTATACGAAATATAATAGCTGGCTTTGAACTTGAACTCGAATCTAAATGTGCTGTTAATAATTGTTGTGAGGGAACGGAACAGTCCGGACTTGTTCCACTATAAACACGTACAAAAGCCATTTGAGTTTGTTTTTGTGATGCAAATGACATATCAGTATCTTTTGGATTTTTTACGGCTAAATAAACAGCATAACCAGTAATCATTGATGAAGAATTTTGAGGCGGATCCCATGTTAAATGTGCACCACCATCTAACGTCTAAAGAGAGAAAAGAAAAATATTATATACAGGTAGGCCCACACATGTTATTCTTTTTCAATGAGTGCTTGAATATTTACTTTGCTAATTTTTATATTGGATGGAGCAGGAGGACTGCCAGGTAAACATGTTTTGAATGCTGATGGATCGCTAAATGAACCTCGACCACAAGCGTTAATTCCAGCAACTCGAAGTTTATAAATAGCACCCGGTTCAAGTTCGATACGTTTGGCTAAATTGTTCGTCTCTATATTTTCCAAGTCCTATAAAAAAAGGAGTAAAATAATCGTAAGTAGCTCACAGACGAGCGATGAAAGGATATATGAAGTGAGACTATGCGAATAGATAAATAAACATATTTCCATAAAATCTTTTTTCTTTATCAACATTTATATTTAACGAGATAAATGACAAATTCGACACGATTTTATGTTCAAATAGAAGAACTAGTACGTACATATGTATCGAGATCAATATTTGATGGCAAAGCATAATAATGTGTAATATTTGTTGATGTCGTTTTAAACATTCCCACTAAATGCCAACCATTTTGTTCTGATGTATTGGCTGCATTTTCATTTGAATTAGGTATATGAATTACATGAACTTAGCTTTGCAGAAACTGCAAAACTAAATCCACTATTCTGCATCTATATTCTGTGCAATGATTCAAGTTGTGCAGTCTACTCGATGTTATCACTAGTAATTTTTTTTGGTATGTTTTTTGTGTTCTGTTTATGATTTGTTTTGAGATTTTGGTAGCGATACCTCAAGAACATATAATCGAGTAGTAAACGAATAGTCCCTTATGGAGCATCGCTGTCAAAATCTCAAAATAAATCATGTAGAGCTGTCCAACCTCTGATTTTATAGAGAGATGTTTGCTCTACATTCTTGCCTGCCTACATTCTAACCAAGATTTTTCAAAAAGTATAAAATCCCTAGTCAATCACTCGGTGCATGTCTAATCGTATTACCATCAAAGTGACGTTTCTACACAACATGTGTCACTGTATGACGTTGCCTGTCGATGAATCATTTTGACCTGCAAAATCGATATTTATGCAAATTCTAATGTGATTGCACCACACAGAATGGGAGCGAATTTATTGCTGACGTTGAAGCAATTATCCAGTGGCATTGTATTCGAGGATATCAGCAATGATCTTCTACTGGAATTTTATTACTGTTTGATTATTTCTCGTCCCACGAGATGTACTTGTCATTCGGCCATCTCAATCGTCATTTCAACAGTTTGATCGATAGTTATCCACAACATGTTGATCTTCGACTGAGCACAGTAATACCGTGCCATATTCGTTCACTTAGACTTACCGCAAAATATCAACTACCACGGTTTTCTATTCTCGACCATTTCCAGATATCGACCATTCGGGCGTTGTCACTAGCCAATTTACGATTGCAACAGCTTCTCGATGTACTTAATATTGTTGAATTAAAACAACTGGAATATATTTATTTGGGCGTGTTTAATGAACATGGAAATAGAAGTCGAGATGAAATCGAATTTGTGCAAGCGAAAATTCTCGCTTTGGATCAAACTGCATCGATGTCATTTGCGAGGTCAATTTCTGATTGATATCGATCATTTACCTTTGACTCTTCCGGCTCTCGAATAACTTCATCTCGATCGCTGCAAAGATTTCTCCGTTCTCTCTTCTCTTCTTTCTCGTACTCCTAATTTGAAGTCTCTTCGAGCATCAACATTCGATTCAACAGAAAACCCTTTGGAGTCAGTTTTCTGTCGAATCACTCATCTTGCCCTCGCTCCTCATTTAAACTGTTCGGAGGCAGAACTTGATCACTTTTTAGAGACTTGTTGTCCCTACGTCAAGAAATTAGTCATCGATCGATCAAAATCCATAAAAAAACAGGATAATGGAATTTGGCGAAACGTTCGACTTGTGTAAGCATTTGGTGAAACTGGAGAACATGTGAACATCAAATGAACGTAATCTGAATAAAGGGCATCGCTGTATTTTCATGCATTTTTTGAAAAATATTTTTCTGTTAAATATAACTTTTCAAATAAAATCATTTCGAAGGCCGAAATGCAGTAGACAACCATCTTAGATAAAATGGACGATTTTTCCAGCAATGTTCCCGGATCATCTCAACTCAACTGAAAAGTGGTGTCTGATTGCAAAGAGGATCCAGTATCGATCAATCGAGTTTTCTCTATTTACTTTTCGACTTTATCACGTGCTTGAAAATCGACAGTCTTGTTCAAGGCATTGGAGATAGAAACACAGCAAATTTGGTTCTGAGTTCTACCAGAATCCGTATTGACTCAACTCTAAAAGAATCCCTCAATTAATCCATTTCTTCTGCTCTAATTTCGTAAACAATCTATCACTTGTTTCGTCTTCTATTTCAATGATGAAGTGTTTTTGATTCCTTTGCAAGCACCTTTGTTTGTGTTGATGCAGGAACCAGAATTTTTAGCTTAAAAAAACGACTTCAATAGTGTTCATGTGTGAGGTCTAGCATCGAACAAAGGGCACGAATCAACTTTGATGTTCATCGGTCTGTGGATTTCAAACATCAAAGAAATTTTTCTAGACATCGCAAGAAACGTCGTAGACAACGTTAGACGCATTTGACTTGTCACATATCTTTCGGCTTCTTCTATCCGACGGTAAAAATCATAGCTATCTATTTCTTTTTTTCCTTCTCCAGTTATATCTCTGAGGCAATGCAGTGCCTTGCTTTTGGACTAGCCGAGAGTTGCAATATCACATCAATTCTAATCCGCTTTAACCTATTTTTACAACGTTAAAAAACGATCGTTGAAAGTTTTCTTAATAGAGGAATGAGCTTGAACTCATACAAGCGATTCTGAGAAATATCAGACTTATTTATTGTCTTTTCATCGTTAAAAAGTCGATGGATGGGACATCTGTCTATTTGAGAAGGAAAATATTTGAAAACGGTTCTACGGCCTTTCTAGTATGTCTTTCGAAAATCACTGAATGATTCCTTTGATTAGACGTATCTTTTCACGTTCGCCACATCATACAGCTCAATTTGTGTCCTAAAAATTCTGAAATTATCAAACTTTCTTTCTTGTGCGAAGAACAAGAATTCGTTGGCGGAGAAATTTTGAAAAATATTCCTCTAGGTACTTCCGCACAGCTCCGCTCACTTATTTATTTACACACATGTATCCCGCCGTTACGATTTCATTCCTGTCATTTTGTAGGTCGTAATAAAGTCTTTTGACTTAGAATATTTTCCAAAAAGTGATGTCGATGGGAGTGTTCTGGAGGTCCAAAGTCTGTAAAAGTACACTTTTTAAATCTCTCAATTTACTATTTCTACGTTACGTCTGTCATGTTTGAGTCAAATATTAAACTTTTTTACGAAAATGATCAAAAAGAAATTCTCTACAAAACGTGATATTTTGCAATTCATTCTTAGCTAACTGAGTTTTTGTCCGTTTGTCACGGAAGATCAAAAAGTACGGTTTTTCAGACTTTGGGCCTTCGGAACATCTCCAACGAAAAATAATTGTTTTTTTTTTGTTGTCGTGTTGAACTCTACTCGAAATAGATTCGAATGCGGTGTGGATCTCGTATGAACCGGTCGATTGAGAAAGAAAAATCAGTCGAACTGGTGCCGATCCAATTCTAGTTTTCTTCTAACTAATGAAGTTGTGTCTCATGTGTGTGATTTAATCGAATTTGAATTTCCCATTATGTTTTTCACAATTTTCAGCAGTAAGAATGCATCTAAGGATACTTTCAGAAGAAAAATTATCACCGTTCAGTTGATGTGTGAACATTCGTTATCATCGGATCCATCATACAATTTTATAAGTTCCTCAAAGACGGTTCTGGTCTGTATTCAGACGATCGACTTAGAATAGAAATCTAAATCAATTTAGGGAGAATGGCTGCAAGGAAGTTTCCGATCGACTAACTACAATAGGTCGTTCATATTTTGAAAAAAACTCTAGTATAATTTAACTGTTCCATGACAAAGCTGTTATCCACGTTGTATCATATACCATTAGATGCGTCTTGAAGCGACCTATAAAATGGCGTGCAATTGAAGAAAAATAAATTGTGGCTGGCATACTTTGTTTTATAGGACCGAAAAAAGTCGCAATTCTGCCTGTAAGTCGCAATTTTATTCATCAAAACTCACGTTTTCCGCGATAAAAATATCATATTCGGAATCAGCGTCGAAAACTCAGTTGAATGATCAATATTTCCAAACTTTTTGGTGATTTTTTTGGGGGGATAAAAATCTGTTATTTTTCGATGTAAAAAATCAAAAAATCTTAAAGCAATCGGATAGGATAAAAGTCGACTCGGTTTTTGACGCTGGTTCCGAATATGATATTATTATCGGGTAAAATGTGACTTTTGATGAAGAAAATTGCGAATGACGGGCAGAATTCCGACTCAGATAGATTTAATCGATAATTAAAGAAAAACTTTACTTCTAGTTTCATTCTCAATAAATTAACATTAATTTCACTAAACGAATTAATCTAATATTTTCAAAATAGGATAATACTAGAATAAAATCATTTATTGTTCTCAAATATATTGAATATTTGAATCTATTTTAAATTATGAATAATTGCACTGCAAAGCAATCCGATACGGACCACTTGGCATTTATTGTTTGCTAAGTTACAAAGTTAATAGAAGAGCTACATATTATTATACAAGTATGCACACATTTAAAGAAAAAAGGTATATACAATAAAAAAAAAACGAGAACGTATATAAGAATAGAAGCAAATAATGTTCAAAATGAAAAAAATGGTAACACAAACAAAAATATTTCATAGGCTGTTTAGGATATACTGGCAAATGTTCAACAACATCAAAAAAAGAAAATAATAATCAAATTTTTCTCGAAAGAAATACAAGAAAAAAACAGGTAGAAAAATATTTTTAGACTCCACCATAGACCACATAATGAAAGGGATGCTAAAAATGCGTTGTGATAGATTGTTCTATTTGATAAAGACGATTTGCTTTCAACTCAATTCAATGCCAAGTTTCACAAGCTTTTTTTCTCAAAACAATAGGCAGTAAAGTATTATTATTAATTAGAAAAATTATTTTATTTATATTGACTTAACTAGTTTTTTAAAGAATCTTGATGATTATAAGTTTGAGTCAAAACAGATAATTATTATTAGCAGGCTCATGTTCATAGTTGATCGCTCTACCAATAGAAGCTGACTTGATGCACGCTCAACAGCAGTGTTACTGCTGTTATATTAAATACAATTTTGTAAATCAAAAAACATATTTTATTTTTTCTCGGATGTAAATAAACCAACTTATATATAGAAATAAAAAAACAAGCAATAGAGAGAAAATGCTGCTGGCTATTAGTTTGTCCATTTTTTTCATGATTACAGCCAACATGCAGCAACATATATAATATTTTCTACATAGAGCAAAAAAACGGAGAGTTACAGAATAAACACTATGATACATCATGGAAGAGCGAATAGAAAAACGTTTCTTTTTCCTCTTTTATGAAACTATAAATGTGTAACCTAACAAATAGATGACAGAAAAAAAAATATATACAACGTAATTATCAACATAAACAACAACGACAACATAATAAAAAGTGAGAGAGAAGAAACAAAATAAAATTCAATAATTCATCATCTTTTCCCTCATTCATTCACTTTTTAAGAGTTCATAAATAAACAATCACATTATCTGATAACTAAAATAATAATACAGATGAACAGAAATATTGTGTACTTTCATGTATCTCCACCACGTAATTTTTTTGCACCATTTGTTTGTAATGAACTAGACGAAGTTCGTTTTAATGAACCAGCCCCTCCTGTTGACTGTGAAGTAGTTGGAGCACCCACTAAATGATTAAAATTAATTGCTTGTCCACCGGTGACTGATACAGAAGGTGATAAAAGGTTATTAATGTTTGATGAATTATCTTTTTGATCTTGTAACCATCGGACTTGAGTAGCTGGTCCATAACCTTTTTCATTTCGAGCTGCTATACGAAATATAATAGCTGGCTTTGAACTTGAACTCGAATCTAAATGTGCTGTTAATAATTGTTGTGAGGGAACGGAACAGTCCGGACTTGTTCCACTATAAACACGTACAAAAGCCATTTGAGTTTGTTTTTGTGATGCAAATGACATATCAGTATCTTTTGGATTTTTTACGGCTAAATAAACAGCATAACCAGTAATCATTGATGAAGAATTTTGAGGCGGATCCCATGTTAAATGTGCACCACCATCTAACGTCTAAAGAGAGAAAAGAAAAATATTATATACAGGTAGGCCCACACATGTTATTCTTTTTCAATGAGTGCTTGAATATTTACTTTGCTAATTTTTATATTGGATGGAGCAGGAGGACTGCCAGGTAAACATGTTTTGAATGCTGATGGATCGCTAAATGAACCTCGACCACAAGCGTTAATTCCAGCAACTCGAAGTTTATAAATAGCACCCGGTTCAAGTTCGATACGTTTGGCTAAATTGTTCGTCTCTATATTTTCCAAGTCCTATAAAAAAAGGAGTAAAATAATCGTAAGTAGCTCACAGACGAGCGATGAAAGGATATATGAAGTGAGACTATGCGAATAGATAAATAAACATATTTCCATAAAATCTTTTTTCTTTATCAACATTTATATTTAACGAGATAAATGACAAATTCGACACGATTTTATGTTCAAATAGAAGAACTAGTACGTACATATGTATCGAGATCAATATTTGATGGCAAAGCATAATAATGTGTAATATTTGTTGATGTCGTTTTAAACATTCCCACTAAATGCCAACCATTTTGTTCTGATGTATTGGCTGCATTTTCATTTGAATTAGGTATATCGCTGGTACTAACAGACACAGGAAGAGAATTTGATATTGCTGTTTCGTGATCTATTTTTTTATTGAAAATAAAAGCAAAACTGAAATATCTAATCAAGAGATTTCATCTCACTAAACTTACCTGTATGTTGCTGACCATGAAAACCATCGCCAGCATGCGCCATGTTTGTGTGTTGACTGTTACCATGCATGCTATCTGAAGTAAAAATAAAAAATTCCTACATTAACATAAAAACAAATTGATATGTTATCATCTTACCAGCATTAATAAATGAAGAATTTTGGTAAATTGATTCTGATTGATTGGTACCATTCTGTGCCACCTAGAGAAAAGCATATTATAAACACATAGAACAAAGGTCTCTTCTGCTTGATTTCGGAGATCAGCTTTTCTAGGAATAAGGGCTAACTGTTGAATATTCTTTTGATTGATGGTAAATAAAGCTGGCTTCGGCATATTAATAACATTTCTCCTCTAGTTTGCCTTAGCTAATAGACTCTGTGCTAATCGTTCTGACATAGAAAAGTTATTGGTACTCTTTCGTAAAACTACAAACAATTTTACATACATGTTCGTTAACAGAATCAAATATACCATCGAGCTGAGGAATAGACATTGATATCTGTTGTTCACGTGTATTCATTAGGAACGACTGAATTCGAGATAATGTTTTATCAATATTAGTTGGGTCTGATGTCGAGCAATAATTATGTTCAAGATTTTCATTTGTACAATGACCATTAGAGCCATCTAGTTGTGGAAGGTGATCAGTATTATGATTGTCAGCCTGAGGTACAGACTGTTTAATATTTCCTATCGTTGTAGATTGTAGACCAAGAAGCTGAACAATATCAGCCGGTATTTCTTCATGTGTTCTATTATCAAGTGTTGTGTTGTTGGTAACAGTTGGTATTTCATTTGAATTATTATTTATTGTTCTAACGTTCATATCAAACGAATTAATAGGTAATGTGATATTAGGAGAAGATGAAAAAGTAACATTGCTATATTTATTTATATTTGGACTTTGATTCAAAATAAATACTTGATTAGTCTGCCCAGTATTGTTACTATTTGTCATAATTATTTTATTACCAACAGTACCGGGTTTATTTTGGGTTGTAGTTAATAACAATGGTTGCTGTTGAATATTAATCGGTGTATGTCGAACATTGCCTGTTGCAGAATTTGTGGGTGTAGTTATTGCTTTAATGACTAATGGTTTTTGATTCGATGATATCGCATTCAAATGAATTACTTGTGATTGTTGAGGTCGAGTTGGAGGTAGCAAGCGAACGATTGTTGTCGGCTGAGAAATGGCTGATGCTCGTACCTAAGACAAGAAAAACAGCTGATAGAGTTGTTAACTAGCACATTTTCTAGACAATACAGAAACTAGAAGAGTAGAGTGAACAGAGAACGTAATTTCTTAATTAGCAGGTTTTTTTTCATTTAAAAAGACTATTGACACAAAGTTTCCCAATATACAAGCATACCGGTGTGAAATTTGTCGGCGTCAAATGCTGTAATCGAACACCCGCTGGAACAACGGTTAATAGTTGTGGTTGTTGTGCTTGTGTTTTTTGAAAAATAATTGGACGAGGTGAATTGGTAGCAGATGATGTATTTATAAACTGGATATTTGTAGTTGGTCGCACAACTAAACAAACAAATTAAGTAAGATGCTTGATCATGAGGATTAATAATTCTAGTCACGTACCAGGATGACTAACAGTTGTTGAGACCGGCGTAAAAGCAGCTGTTGAGGTTAAACGAAAATTCGTGAGATTTGATTGTGGCGATGAACTAGTATTTGTCAATGGAGAAGATGATTGTTGTGGAGAGGGTAATGATACCATTGTGATAGATGATGTTGGTACAGATATTGAATTCTGTGACATTGAAGCAGACGGAATTTGAAAAACAACAGATGGGTTATATGTACTGGTAATAGGCTAAAAAAAAGAATTACCATAAAAGTAACGATATATCAACGACAAAGCCAGTCGAAAAGTGTTACATATGAAGTAGAAAGTGTAATACTTATTCAAAAGACTCACATTTGTCATTAATTGCGATGAAACAGATGATGTCGGTAACGTTTGTGCATTGACTGTACTAATTGATGATACTAATGGTATTTGTGATGAATTTGGAACAGTTATCAAGTCTGATGGCTTATTCAAAATCGATGGTGACAGACATTGGTCAACAACAGCATCTATTCACGGTAAACATGTAAACTCCTTTATCTAGTAAGACTATTTTTCCATTACCTGAATCCGAAGTACCAGACGCTGATGCACTCGGTGGTTGCTGTTCTAAAAATGAATAGAAAATTTATTATTAGAAGTCAAATCTAGCAGAACCAAATTGAATGTTACCATTTGAAAAAGATGTGATAAACGGCATGTTAACTAGATTTGTAACTGAAAAGAGAAATAAATAAAAATAATAATTTACACATAATAAATGAAATATTTTTTCTCTACCTGACTGTGGACTTTTTGCTGCATATAATGAATTAGATACCGGGTGTTCAGGAGGTGCATCGAAGCGCTGAATTTGTAAAATATAGGAATCAGCTAGAAAAAGAGATAAAAACGATAACTTTGTTTTTAATACTATAAAATGCCTTTTCTCACCTGAAGGAACTGAATTCCAACACACTTCTAAATTACCAACACCGGCTTTTAATAATTGCACTTTTTCAGGCTCATTTGGATATTCTGTTTCTAAACACCAAAGATCCTTACAACAAACCTAAATAAAACAAAAGTAAATTAAATTTATTCGTTAGTAATCCAGTAACTATTCATACTTGATTATTCCATGCTTTTCTATAGCCATCTCTGCCACTCCAAATGTACATTCTTGTGTTTACAGATACTGCACAATGACCTGCTCTAGCACGAGGTACATTTTCATCAAGACATTCTTGACCGAGAAGTTCCCAGGAATTTGATTCTAAGATCAAAATGAAACAAGATTATACCTCTGTAACTGATGAAAGAATATTAGAGTTTACCCAAATTATATGCTGACAATGTATTTGTACATTTCCATTCTTTTTCATTCGAAAAACGATCTTCTGATGAAACTAACGGTACCCATCCACCAAAAACAAACATTCTAAAATCAATAAAAATATCACAGACATATAGGAATAACGAACTTCAATCATTCAAAGTGGATGAGTGGAAAGCCAAAAATAAAAAAAATAACTCGAATAGATACCGAAGATGAGAAGGTAGTAAGTTTATCATCTATGAAATTATTACGTGCAACACAAGACAAGCTACAGTACTGCTGTTGATACAAATACTTGCACTCAATTAATCTTCATAAAGACAACTTCTGTCCTGTTGCAACAAAATTGGACGAAGATACATACCGATGGCTAAGAACCACGGACGTGTGAAGACTGCGCGGCTGAGGAATGATACCAGATGGTGTGATTTGGGTCCATTGAGGAAAATCTAAATGATAATATAAAGTATTAATCTCTATATTGTGCTTTTCACACCAATCAGTATCAAAGTTTGATGTATTGCATTAAGAAATGTTAACCACTTTTACAGACATCTTACCTACTTTCAATCCCAGAGAAGCACGAACCGGGCTAGAAAATTTTATAGAGTGATCAGCCGGGCCGCAAAGTATTTCGATCGGGTCGGGCCGCTCTCAGAATTTAGGTGTATACTCAGTACCGTGAAAGAATATTATTTCTGTTACGCGACACCTTAATGACTTCGTTTAACTAATGTCGTTAACACGTTGGCTGCCAATATACCGACCGGGCCAGAAAAGTTTCAGGATTAGTCGGACCAGACCCGATAAATTTCACGTTTCATCGGGCCGAGCCGGATCAAAAATTTTCTGCCCGTGCCGATCTCTGCGTTCAATTCTTAAAAATGAATGATTTATTACTCACCTAGATAAAAACACCATAGATCACCGAGTCGATGTCCATTCATTCCACCATAAATAATTAGTTTTGGCCTGCAGTCTAACTGACCACGATGATAGACACATGTATGAGATTCACGTGCTAAAAAAACGAATAATAAATCATCGCAGACACAGTACAAGAACAGAAGACTTTCGACTGCAATATATTTTCACACTTTCCCATTCTTTCTGCTGCACCCTCTCATCGTTTCTTAACGTTCAAACTGTATAAAAACTATGAATTACCGATGGGAGGTGTACCACGTGCTACTGGCTGATCCCATACGCTACTCGATGTTTTGCATTCCAATGAATATAAATCATTCAAATAACTAGAAATGAATCATTAGATAAAGTAAATCTTTGCTGATATACTTAATAGACATACCGTGGTATATTTTGTTTGGGATCTTTACTGTCATTTGCCAGACCACCAAATAAATAATACTTTCCATCGGCAAATGTCAAACTGTGTCCTGAACATAAACAAAAATAATCAATATTGGTTAATCAAAGGAATACGACATACATACCTAATCTCGCACAAGGTACCGTTGAATTTCTTGGTGCTCGTGGCTTTAATTTTTTCCATTCCCATTTAGCTGGATTTAATTCTATCAACTCAGATGAATATTTTCCATACTCCACCATACCGCCAAAAACCAATACTTTGGCACCATCCGTTGCAAAACCAAATGCAGCGCAACCTGTAGGTACATCACCTTTTGTAGGAGGTTGAAACCATTGATTATTTGCTACAAAACATATACAATTTAATTTAAACATACACCTCACAATGTAAATCTAAAGCACCACTTACTGCAATTAAACACATTTAAATCATCTACAATTCCCTCATTACCACCACCAAAAACAATAATTAAATCTTTAACAGCAATACCGCGATGTCCTACAAATTTCGAAGAAAAAAGATCAAATGAATTACAAACTCTAATATTAAAATAGCATACCATGTCGGGGTTTTGGAACTGGCCCAGAAAAGGAATCAATTCGTTTCCAAGCTGGTTTTGGTGAAGTCATTGTTGATCAGTGGACAATAAACGAGATCCAGAAAACATAAAGAATTGTTTTTGATTTAATGAACAAAACGAAAATGGCCAAATGGTTATATCACTAAAACTCGCATTAAAAATATATATACAACATTCTCGTTTCTCGAGAGTCAAGAAATAAAACAAAAATGAAATGATATGAGAGCGTTAGAAATGATGGATGAAATATAAGCTAGCCACTCGCCATCTTGTCGTATTTGGATACAAGCCTTCACGTTCAGTTTGACAGATAGCTGGTACGTGATTCAATGCAATGATTAAGTTTTTTGTTAAAGTTTACTCTCCTGCATCTTTTAAAATTCATTTTTATTATCACATCATTATCAACTGATCATTTCAAAGTGCATTACTACGTATGCAATAGATGTAAGGCAGAAGAAAAGTTGTCGTCACAGATAGTAACATAAAAATGGCTGACATCGAGAAATATTATCTTTAGTACTTGTCTGTTTCAATGAATTTTTCTTACAGAACTATTAAACTTTCACGAAGATAATCTTGAATCAAGCGGATACTTTTTCCGCTGATCGTTATTTTTTGTCTGTTTTTTCTTTTGGCTGCGGTTCTTCAGCGCATAGTATTTAATTTCGTTCCTTAATGACTAGACGAACGGATCATGTGGGATCCATAAGCATAAATTGTGGTAGAACTATTGTTTTTGTCTTTTCACTAGCTACAACCATTATTTTTTATTGGGAAACAATTAAAATGTTGTAAAAATACAGATGTTTTCGCATAAGGCGCAAAGATAATTTTTAATAAGAGTATAAAGGAAAAAATAATTATAAGAAAAGTAACAATTAAATTTAAGACATATTTCCGTTTTATTCCGAGACCAAGTGTAATGTAGGGTACAAAAATAATTGATGAAAAGCCACCGTACAGAATACCACCAAAATTTACAAAATTATTGTAAGCTGTTGTTAATCCGAGAAGAAACAAGATAAAGAATATTAATAAATTTTTAACAAGAATAACAATAAAACGTTTTTGGCTGAATGGAATATCTTTTGTTATTGTTGGTTTTTGTTGATGTGTGTAATTCCAAAATTCGAACAATTCAAACAAATTTAATGTTGTCATTGCCGTGATGTAGCCAGATGTTCCATAGATGAGTTCATCAAATTTAATTGCTGCAGCAAACAGATAAGAACCATATAATGTTATGACATAGAAACAAACTACATGTAGAGATGATAATGTTGATTCAAATGGAAAACCTACAGTAAATAAGAATAGCAGTGTCAAAATACTTTTGATCCATGAAAAGAGGAATATTTGATCATCATACCGCTAAGAAAGAGATTAGAGATTTTCTCGAGTCTTTTCTTCGAAATAAAACGTGTCTGTAGATTTCTTTAACAGATCTTCACAGATTGTTACAAAATATCGATAGATTCTAAAGAAATTTGTACAAATTTCCTACACGCTGTAGCCTCAACGAAATTATTTGCTAAATGAGAAATATTATGTAAACGTAAAAATATCGGCAGAAATTTCCTAAATATCACATATAAGCTATGCCGAATCTGCTGATAATTTGTAATAATCTGCTCCACAGCTGTGCAGATTTTTCATACATTCTGAGGAATTTTCTGCCACAAATTTTGTCTATATCCTACAGTGAATCTGCACGTTCCGTTGTAAATCTGATTCACATTTTCCTTGCAGAAAAAGTTCGGACAGACTAATCTCTTGTATACCCAACTGCGCTCTCGCTGCCGACTTCTAGCTTCGAACAAACTGCCTCCTACTTAACGTTGGCGATTTCTGTTTGAAGGTTCATTGTTCAAAAACGAGGTATATAAGAATGATAAAACGTTTGTATACCTAAAATAATTGTGAATATTCCATTTAATAATAACGTTATAATTCCACTGGATAAAAATTGCGCAAGAAAAAATCGAATTAGAATATCAAACATTTTACTTTTACGATTTTTCATGCCAATTTGAAATGTACTTGATCGATCTAAATCGTGTTGTACATGATTGTTGTGCAGTTCATATTTACATAAATACTGAAAACAATTGACGTCCGTTGAATGTTCGTGTGAATCAATATAAATTCCATTATGAAGATAACAATATTCAAGTGTTGTAACATAGCATAGACCTTTATACGATATACAACAAGGTTTTAGTATTGTTGACGTTGGAACAGTTGGCATTGATGGTAATTGAATTGAACAACGTTTATTGATCCATAATCCAGTACTGTAAGATTGATTGAAACATTCTGCTTCAGTTAATGAAGCTAAATATTTATTTTGTTTATTAATACAACAACCAACAATAGGTGAATTTTCTATTTTTTGTTTATATAGAAAGCAGGGGCCGAATAAAGCACCTTTTTTGAGTAAATTAATCATTTCTAGTCCTAGTGCGAATGATGTTTGAGAATAAATAATCATTGGGATACGCCCATAGAATGTATCGACGTTTGCTCGTTGTTTTATGATTTGTTTCATTCCAAATGCTGTTGGACAATGTGTTTGTTGACAAATATAGACAAAATAGAACAGTTGAAAGAACAGTAACAGTGAGTTTAGTAATGGTATGCTATGAACTATAAATCGACAGAAATATTTCAGTTCACTTTTATATAATTGCTCGTTACCATCAACAGTACAACATTTTCTACAAAATAGTTTTAACCATGATAGTTGTTCGACATAAACAATCTCTTTCGCACATTGTAATTCAGCCTTTTTTATTTTTTCCATTAGAGGATCTATATATTGTTGATTCCATTCGAAAATAGACTGTTTGTATTGTTGATACTGCGTAGATAGTTTTGACTTGGCGACGGCATTAAATGTTTGATTATCGTTCATTTTTAATGAGTTCATTTCTAAATGTAGAGTACAAATAGGTTCAGATCGTGATCGATGCGGTTTATTTGTGTTGATGATTAAATTCCAATCACGAGTTGTTGAATGTAATCGTCGAATATTTGTTGATATTATTTCATAATACTGCGGTTCTTTATCCTCTTCTTGTTCTTCGTTATGAGTAACTGATGTTTGTCCAGTCGCCAATAACTTTAATGAAATACGATTTGATAAGCGTAGTATCCGTAAAGGATTCTCTAATAACAGTTTAAGTTTACTCTCTAATAAAGTATCATATGAACTATCTTCACCGATTTTTCTGCTGCACGATAAATAACGAAAGAAAGACTGCATCTTTTAGCTGTTGAATGAAAAGAGAGACACGCTCACATACATCTAATTATAATTGTAGACATAATAGCTCTTTTCCTTTCTTTGCAATGGATGACAACACCTCAGAGCTTGAACAGAGTTATAAAATTTTATTAAAATCTCGCAAAAGAGACTTCTATACCTACATGAAACATGTTCCTATGAGATCTTATCATAAAAAAAATCTATTTTATGATTTACAGAGTTTGACAAAAGAATTCGTAAGATCATACTATTTTCTATAACTTCTTGTGATAAGACCTTGCACACTCAGATAAAAACGACTTATAAGATTTACAAAAACCTTGACATAATATCATATAAGATCTTGTGATACTTTGAATCTTTTGTCATCCTATTACAAGACTAGTGTATAAGAATTGATAAGATCTTGCAGGATCATACAATAAGAAGCCGTATAATCTTGTGATCTTGCGGTAATCATTGATATCATGTTTATAATTCTTGTCATATTATCCTGCCATATTGTACAAGAACATGAAATTTTGTTATTATAAAATCTTGCAAGACTCATCCAGACAATATAGATTTTGCTTTGACATACAGTACATGTATATAAGATCGTTCTTACGAATAAAAATTTTTCTTTTGAAATTTCACACATCAGCTGAGCACAGAATACAGTACAATAGGTTAGAAACGTGACTAAACACGATCCTGGGACATTAGAATTCTACCGAAACTAGAAAATATCAAAAAAAGAAAAGGAGAGGAAATTGATAGCAAAAAGCAGACATATCAACTTCAATGGTATGATGAATTTCTGTAACATCTTATAATCTTGTAACATTTCTCAAAAAATCTTTCAAGATCTATCGACCTTACAAGTTATAGAAATTGTCTGATATTATCAATTGCACAATTTAAAACCTTAGATTGTTCACCTGAATTTATTTTGTCATAGTTCTTCTAAAGTTTCACAAGAGCGATGACTTATTATCCACCATGAGTTTTTCTACAATTTATAGAATATAATCAATTTATTACTTCTTTTTATTACTTTAGTAAAATATTAGAAGGTTCGATTTGAAATACACAGATTTGAAATTGTATTTTTTTAAAGAAAAACATCAATCAAAATATAATGAAAGGCTTTACACCAGACGAACTAAGCCGAATACATGGCTTTACTTCGTGGATAAATATGCGTCTATTGCCTTTCGAAAAAGGTTTAAGCAACATATTGACAGATTTGATGACAGGAACAAATATGAAATTTTTATTGGAAAGCGTTACGGGACAATCGTCAGAAAAAATTCAAACATTTGACAAATTAACAACAGAACAAATTCGGACGAGATGTGACTGGGCAGTGAAAGAATTAAAAGAAAAGTACGATGTTCAATAAGGGATTTAAGTTCGATCGCCTATAATTTTTATTCTTATTTCTCACTTAGTCAAATAATTCCAGATGACATTCAAGTCGATACACGTCTATTTGCAGTTCGAAGCGCTAAACATGTACGTGTAGGATTTAAAATAATATTTTTGCTAGAGGTTAACTGTATATTTGCTCTTTTCAGGTGTTTGACCTTCTCTGGCGTCTTGTTCAGCACGATATATGGTTTATTTGGGAACGTATAGATTTTTTATTACAAGACGACATAAATGCATTATTAGAAGTACCACTAAAAGTAAGTTAGGTGAATTTTGAACCTCATTTGAAGTATTGATTATTTAAGTGGGTTCCATCTAAATCATCAATAGAAGAAAATACAAATCAAACAGGAGACGGTGATATTTCTCTTATGGCTGGTTTTGGTTTAAAAACAGCCGTTACAGAAATTTTGAACAATAAAACAAACGTAAGTTAATTTGCTATAAAATTATAAACATGTTCAGTTATTTTACATTATACATAGTCAACCAATCAAGACAAATTTTCTGAAACTGAAAAAATGCGTTTATTTTCAAAACGTACTTTAGCAAAAAAGTATCCGAAACCAGATGCTTGTATAATTGAAATGATACAATTAGTTTTACAAGTAAAGAGACACATAATGTTTTCATAACGTATTTCATCATTATCTTCTTTGCAGAAATTACCTGAAGGTCAACGTCTCAAATTTACTAAATTAAGTGAACTATCTGACTTACGTATATTAAGCTGTTTAATTAATGCATTCATACCAAATTTAATTCCAACGGAAGTGTTATTAAACGATAGGTATGCATCTATCGAATAAAAATATTAATATACTATTGCTCACAGTCAATATATTCTTTGATGTTTATAGGTGGAGTTTAAATTTGTTATTGAGTATTATTGATACGTCATTCTGATTTACTAGTGACCGAACGAGGTTTGAATTCGATACATCTCTACGTACTTAGAATCAAATGTAAATCATCATTGCCA